GTGACTCCACTCCCTCCCTGGGCAGACCATTCTAGTGCTTTATCACTCTTTCTGTAAAAATCTTTTTCCTGATATCCAACCTACATTTCTCTTGGTGCAGCTCAAGGCTGTGTCCTCTCGCTCTGCAGCTGCTGCCTGGAGAAAGAGCCCGACCCCACCTGCCCACAGCCACCCTTCAGGCRGTTGTAGAGAGTGATAAGGTCACCWCTGARTCTCCTTTYCTYCAGRCTGAACAACCCCAGYTCCCTCAGCCGTTCCTCACAGGGTTTGTGTTCCAAGCCCTTCTCCAGCCTTGTTGCCTCCTCTGGACAYGCTCAAGCATCTCAATGTCCTTCCTAAACTGAGGGGCCTAAATCGGACAYAGCACTCGAGGTGTGGCCYCTCAGCCTCTCAGGGGGCTGCACTTGGGCTGTCCCACACTCACTYGAGGCAGCTCCTGGTTTGGTGAGGGAGAACGTCTTTGGTGGGGAATATCTGGTGAGGAGACCCTGGAGAYTGGGAAACCCCATGGGGCTGTGAGGCTTTGCAGAGATGGGATGGGATAAATCCACGATTTTAATGTCAGAACAAAACCCCAGGGGAGTTCAATCAGAGCCTGCAAGGCTCAGGGGCATTCCCGAAGAGGGTGCTGGCAGCAGCAGGGAGGCAGGGCCAGAGCTGTAACACCACACAGCTCCTTCCAGAGCAGGGAACACAGATCGGGGCAGGGTTTGGGGTCACACCCAGCTGCTCCTTGGTGTGGGAGAGGCATTCATTCCACGGGATGGCGGGAGAAGTGCAGATCCCATCRGTCCTGGGGAGGAAAGGGCAGCACCCCCGCTGCTGGGGACCATTACCTCCCCACACTGGCACTCCGGGAYTTGTCTTCAGCACACTCTGGACTGTTTTTCTGGTGTCAAAGCATATCCGAGAGCACCATCTCGTGGGCACCACGGAAATCATCGAGGAGAAGCTGAAGGAGCAGCTTTWGTTGGGCATTTTGGGCTGTTTGGGCTAAACGGGCATCCAGGTGGTGGGGCTCCATTCCTGCCGAATGAGCAGAATGGACACCCCCAGGAGGAAAAAACACTGATTTTCCCACTCTAATTCGAGCAAAGCAGGTGTGGGGGAAGATGGATAAGCTTGGGCTCCTTTTCAGAGCTCGGATTCCCCTGAAGTTGTCCAGTTTTCCCAGCTGTGTGAGTTTTCTGGACAGCATGGAACTGGATGTAACCCAGGGCCCAGGATCCCTGCACCCTCCACCTGCACRGTGCAGCCCTGGGAAATGAATTTGGCTTCACTGAGCTTCTTCCCCAGCTGGGAGCACCTCCCTGGGCTGGGAGCAAACGTGGATTTATTCCTTCCCTGACTTCCCTTCACCTTGTTCCCAGCAATGCCAAGGACTCGCTGTTTTGAGCTGGGGCTGAGGAGGGGTGGGAGGAGAATGAGTGGAATAGAAGCTCCTATAAACCCTCAGGTTTGAAGGGGAAAACCTGAGGGGTTTTGGGAGGGCTGACTGTGAGCTGGGAGGGATGGGGCAGGCACCAGGCAACCCCAGAGGGATGGGGTAAGGGTGCAAGAGGTGTGATGGATCCAGCATGGGAAGGATGGAGGAGAGACAGGAGGGGCAGCCTCCCCTCACCACTGCCATGGGGACACGCTGAGGCCRCTGGGTGGGGACAGCAGCCTGTCACAGTCCCCTGCCATGGCCATTCACTGCTCTGGGAGAGGAGAACACACACATGGGCATAGGGATCCCCTCAGCGGCTCTTGGTGATCACTCCTTTACACAATTCCTGAGCCAGAGACTTCCCCCATCCCATCCCATCCATCCCATCCCATCCCATCCCATCCCATCCCATCCCATCCCATCCCATCCCATCCCATCCCATCCCAGCCGGATATGTGTCTGCAGGGCAAAGCTCCCTGTGTGGATCCTGCCACCAGGAATCCACCTGGGATTTTCTCCCCACAATCCTGGCCCCAGCTGAGTGCAGGGATGTGGGACACAGAAATGTCCCTGTTTCATCATTCAGGAYCTGGGGAATTTGGATTTGCATGGATTCCATACAGAGATATTGAGAGCTGCAGTGATCTTTTGCCTGGCACCAGGCTCAGATATGGAGCAATCTCCTGGCTTTAAATGTGCTTTGAAAACAAACACTCTCACAGAACTCACTGTCCCTCCTCCACACCTGGCCAGGGGAAAGTTTGGGTGATGCTCTGGAAGTCAAGGGCATCTTGACTTTGCATCTTCCTGTCCTTGCCCAAGGCTGCAAAGCCCTTCCCATGTGCTGCTGTGGCTGCAGGGAAGGGACCTTGGCCACCCCAAACCCTTCAGTGAGGGCTGTGTCCTCCTGTGGCTCAGAAATGTCCTTTGGTCACTGGCAGGCACCAACCTCAGAGTAGAGAAAGTCTCACCTGTGGTCCCTGGGGAGSAGCTGAGCCTGGAGCCACCTCCCTGTGTGGACCAGAGGATCCTGGAGCCTTGGTTTGAGGGGCTGAGACAYTGCCCATGGGCTGGACTAGTTAAAGCCTTGAAAAAACCCCAGGCAATGTTTAGGGACTTGCTTTGCACCTGAACTGAGTTCCTTGTGCTTCAGGCACCRCCAGACCCAACCTCATCCCTCAGGAAAGGTTCTGCTGCTCGTGGGAGTGGGGCAAAGGCACGGAGGAGAGCCAGGCTTGGGGCAGAGCCAAACTGCTGCCAGGGCTGGGGCCTGATGTGCCCAAAGCCCTTTGATTTTGGCGTGGTCGGGGCAGCAAGGGAGGCAGACTCGTTTTTCCAGTGCCTATGGATAGAGCCATGAGCTCATCGCTGCCGACCGCGGGGAGCGTTCAAAGCACGGCAAACAGGAATTTCCASCGCAGCCGGGAGCCAGCAGGGAGCACACTGGGGCTGGGGATGTGCTGCCCAGGTCACCCACCTGGGTGGGAGATCTGCGTGGGTGCAGACAGCCCTGGCACCTCCAGCTGCACTCCCAGGGGCAGCAGGGGATGGGGGTGTCTGTCCCAGGGGCAGCAGGGGATGGGGGTGTCTGTCCCAGGGGCAGCAGGGGATGGGGGTGTCTGTCCCAGGGGCAGCAGGGGATGGAGGTGTCTGTCCAAGGGGAAAGGTGCAGCCCCAGCCCTGGCACAAACTCCCTGGGGAGGCTCCAGCTCCATTTTCCGACCCTCTCAGTAAAACTGGGGTGACAAGGGGAGGGGTCCAGCCCCTGAGCCTGACAGGTGTGTCCAGGGTGTTCCCTGCAGGGAGGGACAGGGATTCAGGGCTCCAGAGGGCACCCCTGGGCCACCAGGGTGTCCTGTGGGGCTGCACCCACACTTCTGTGTCTAGAAACTGATGCTGTGAGGTAACCACAGCACCCACGGGTGCCTGATACTGCTGCCCACGCCCTAGCCCCGGGAGCCACCCCTGCTGCCAAAGAGGTGCTGCCTCGCCGAGCTCTGGGGTCACCTCCTGTCCCACAGAGCCCTGGGGACCTTCCTGAGCCTGGGAATGTTCCTGCAGAGCAGCTCCCRGCCCCAAGGCAAGACCTCCCCCTGYCATGGGCTGGTTTGGGGTGGAWGGGACCTTGAAGATCAACTCCTTCCASCCCWGCCATRGGCAGGGACACCTCCCACTGTCCCAGGTCACTCCCAGCCCCAATGTCCAGCCTGGCCTTGGGCACTGCCAGGGATCCAGGGGCAGCCACAGCTGCTCTGGGCACTGCCAGGGATCCAGGGGCAGCCACAGCTGCTCTGGGCACCCTGTGCCAGGGCCTGCCCACCCTCCCAGGGAACAATTCCTGCCCAATATCCCATCCATCCCTGCCCTCTGGCACTGGGAACAATTTCCCGGGTCCTGTCCCTCCATCCCTTGTCCCCAGTCTCTCTCCATCTTTCCTGCAGCTCCTTCAGGTCCTGGAAGGTCACACTGAGGTCACCCCAGAGCTTCTCCTCTCCAGGCTGAACAATCCCAGCTGTCCCAGCCTTCCCTCCCAGCAGAGCTGCTCCATCCCTCTGCCCATCCTGGAGCCTCCTCTGGGCTCTGTGCAGCAGCTCCAGCTCCTCCCTGTGCTGGGCCCAGGGCTGGGGCAGCTCTGCAGGTGGGGGCTCACCTRTCCAGGGCTCCTGGGGCATTTGGGCACATCCAGGTGCCACAGTGAGGGAGGGCCTGTGAGCAGTGCCCTGAGGTCACTGTGCCCACTCCAGGGCCTCCTTTAGATGTGGCACACAGCATCCAGACCCCCAGGGAGCTGCTTGCATGATGAAGAGTTGGGCAGAAACTTCACTGACAGGTGAAAGGGGGACCTGACAGGAGCCAGGGTTGAGGCAGGGGCGATCCAGCCTGTGGGCAGTCTTTACAAGGTTTGCAGCGATGAGGCCTCCTGGCTCCTTTCCTGAGGCCCAGCTGAGGGACATGAGGCTCTCTGGGACAGGGTGAGGTGACAGGGAACCTTCTCAGAGTGGGTTCCCACCTGCACGTGGCTGGGATGGCCACAGATGGGGCTCCTGCCTGCCCTGAGCACATGGAGCCCCTGCTGCACCTGACCCACGGTTCAGGGAGGTGCTGGAGACCCCAGGGCAGAGGCACCACAGCAGAGGCCTCCATGGCTGCTCGGGTGTCTTTCCTGGGCCATTCCCAGTACCGGGGGCTCTGGTCCTGTCTGAGCACATGGGACAGGGACTGCAGGGCCAGGGGGAGGGTTTGGGGGGTTGGAAGGGGAGGGGGCTTGGGGACGAGGCTGAGGGCAGGACGAGGTGTGGGTACGGGGGGTGAGGACCCCAGCCCTGGCGCAGGACGTGCAGCCCACCCAGCTTTGCAGCACCAGAGGGTCCCGGTAGCCCTTCGGTGCCCGTTCCCTTGGGATTGATCCCGCAGGGACCAGCCCGGGGACAGCAGGGAAGTCAGGCCGTGCCTCCCTCCCGTCCCTGCCCCAACGCCTGACGCCAGCTCCTCGCCCACTCCCTGGCCAAGCGGGCCAGTGGGAGCCCTTTAAAAGCCGAACGGGTTCCTCCGCATTCACTGGGCGGGAGCTGTACCTGCCCGTGTCCCTGTCCCCGCTCCAGCCTTTGCGCAACGCGGGCTCCCGGGACGCAGCCGGCACTGAAGGCATCCTAAAGGTGTCCTAAAGGTGTCCTGAAGGTGTCCTGAAGGTGTCCTGAAGGGGTCCTGAAGGGGTCCCGGTGTCACAGAGGGGTCCCGGTGCTCTCCGGCCGGCAGTGCCACGGTACAGCCAGCCCCGGGTCTGGGGACAGCCGTGCATGGAGGGGCACCTGCCCCGGGGCCCTGCAGCAGGTAAGGGGACTTTGGGGTACAGGGAACGGGGGGTGCAGGGCTCCTTGGGRAGCATCGAGTCCCTGATCCCTCCTAAAGCACAGCAGGAGCCCRGATCTCCCCTCTCGTGCCGGGGGAAAGGATGCTCATGGTGTTGTTGGGGCCGTGCTGGGGCAGGGTGAGTCCCCCGCAGGAGAAGGGCAGCCCGGCAGGGGTGGCAGAACCTCCAGCGTGGGCTGGCAGTGTGTCCGTGGGCACAGCCATTCGTGAGGAAAGGGCTGCGGGCTGGGTGSGGTCTGGAAACGCCACCCGGGCTGGGAAAACCAGCAGCTTTGAGGCAGGTGTGGTCTGAGCTGGGCTGAGAGGAGGGAGCCGGGCCGAACATCTCCCCTGTCCCTGCTCTGCCCTCTCCCTTCCCCACAGCCCCAGCCCCGCTGGGGGCTCAGAGATCTGCATTTTGCACTCCCCTGCAGCCGGGGCCGGGCCGGGGTGGCCGGGCTGGCTCTGCCCTCCTCTCTGGCTGACTCTGGGCCGGCCCCGAACCTTGCTGCTGTGCCCAGCTCAGCCTGAGCGTGGCCTGGAGATGCCATGGCCTGGCCACCGGCTGGGACACCCCCCGCGGCCTGGAAGGAGCCTGCCGTGGGGGGTTGCTGCCTGCCCTGGCTGGGTCACCTCCCTGTCCATCCCCCGTGGCTCCCACTGCTCCACCAGCCTGGCTCCCCCGGCCCCTCAGGATTCTCTGGGATGGGAGATCTCCCTGTCCTTGGCTGTGGATCCCACTGTGGGATGGGAACTCCCAGCTCCTGCAGCTTAGCATAGAGGCTCTGGTGACACAACCTGTGTCACCTGCAATGACACAGCCTGTGCCAGGTGTGGTACAGTGGCACTGCAGGGCCTGCCWCRCYGAGCTCTGGGCTCACCTCTTCCCCATCCCACAGAGCCCTGGGGACCTTCCTGAGCCTGGGAATGTTCCTGYAGAGCAGCTCCCGGCCCCAAGACAAGACCTCCTCCTGCCATGGGATGGTCTGGGGTGGAAGAGACTTTAAAGATCAACTCYTTCCACCCCTGCCTTGGGCAGGRACACCTCCCACTGTGGCWCCAAGCCCCARTGTCCAGCCCAGCCTTGGACACTGCCAGGAATTCAGCAGRCACGGCTCCATCCAGGGGCTCATCCCGCTGCCTGTGTGGTTTTGCAGCCAGGGATTATTGCCCTGGAGGGCTCTGGAGCTCAGATCTTCCCATCAGCTGTCCCTTGCCCCAGGGGCCACACCGGGAGGTTTAACGGTGCTGAGAGTGCCCGGCACCCACACCCTCCCTCTGTGAGGGGCGAAGGGCAGTGCCAAGAGAGCAGGGAAGAGGAGGAGGAGGAGAGCTGTAGAGATGGGCTGTGCTGATCATTGCCACCAAGACCCCGATTAACCCCTCGTGCCTCTCCCTGGCAGCTGGGAAGCTCCCRCGGACACCACAGCGGGTATGTCCGAGACCTCCTCCAGCAAGGAGGCTGCCCCGGCCGAGTGCCCCGTGTGCTACGAGCGCTTCCAGCCCYTGGAGGGCACGCACCGGCGGCTCAGCTGCGGCCACACCTTCTGCCACGACTGCCTGGTGAAGTGCCTGCTGTCGGCCAAGCTGGACGGGCACATCCAGAGCAGCATCATCTGCCCCGTGTGCCGCTACGTCACCTTCCTCAGCAAGAAGAAGGCTCTGTGGCCGCCCCGGGCGGCCGCCACCCCCTGCACGCTGGAGATGCCGCTGTCACCGTCCTCCTTGTCCCATCTGACCAAAGCGGAGGCCGGCAACACGCTGGTGGTGCCCAGCCACTTCGTGATGCCGGTGCAGAGCCTGGAGCGGTGCTCGGCGGGCGCGCCGGGGCTGCCGGGGCTTCTGGCACGGGAAGCGCACATCTTTGTCATCAGCGAGCACGGGATGCCGCTGGTGGCCGCGGACTGCGCCTCCCTGGGCGGCGGGAGCCGGGCGGGCACGGCCAGCTCGGTGTCATCCGGGCCGGCGCTGGGGGTCAAGTGCTGCCAGTCCCCCATGGCCCTGGCCGTGCTGCTCGTCCTGACCGTGGCCWTGCTGGCCGCCGTGCTGCCGTGGCTGCTGCTGGTCAAGAGGGACGTGTAGCAGCGATGGCATCAGCGGGCACACCAGAGGGGTGGCACTGCTGCTGAGACAGAGCTGGGGCTGGAGCCTCTCTCTAAAGGTTCCTGGAGAACACCCAGAAGCAGTTTCAGGTGAGGCTCTGCCACCTGCCCGGGGACTGAATGGACTCTCGGACCTTCTGCAGATCTTCAGGTGCCCACCGTGTCACTGGTGGCATTTACTGTCCCTTTTGGTCACAACATGGCAGATCAAGCCCTGCTGATGGTTTCCTCCAGGATCTCAGTGGAGAGGACCCTCCTGCACCCTGTGACAGATCCTATGGCCAGCAGGGGCCAAGGGGCCGTGCTGGTCCTGCCCAGCCCCTGCCCAGCTCCAGGCACAGTTTCTGTGTGTCAGAGGGTCAGGGCTGCCCGGCTGTGGGGCTGCTGGAGCTCCTCAGGCTCCCAGGATGTCGGGATCATCGTGACACAGCCAGCCAGGAGCAGAAACTCATGGCTTCCATGCCGGAGATGGATAAATCAGAGCCTCCAACTACYGGGCACGAGGGCAGTGAAACCAGCRATGGAGACAGTGACCCTGGCTCTGCTGAGCTCACCAGTGCCAGCCTCCCTGCAGTGCCATGGGCTGGGGAGGGAGGCCAGCTCAGCCCACAGCCAGTCCCAGCTGTGCCCTCCCTCACCTCACCCTGAGCTCCCCAGGATCAGGGCCATCSTCCTGGTGTCACCACCATCCTCCTGGTCTCACCACATCCCTCCTGCCCTGGTGACCCAGGGACACAGGTTGGGGTGTGGGGAGTAAACCCAAGTTCTGGACATCAGAATGGGGCAGATTTGGGGTCCCACCCTGCTGTCCTTGCTAGAGCCCTGTGGTGGTGTGGCAGAGTGACATTTTCTTGTCCCTACATCCCACTCCTGAGGGCTCACAGCCAGGGGCTCATTTTCACCCATGCCAAACAGGCTGGGCACTGCTCAGCCCCCCAAAGCCTCTGGCTCTGCCCTCTTTGGGACTGGTTTCACTCAGGGGACCCCAGTGTCAGCCCCTCAGCCCAGGGCCCCTGCTTTGGGARGGCAGTGGGCAGCAGAGAGGCCCAGCTGAGATCTGGGAATCTGTGCCTGCTCTCAGTGAGGGGGAGAGGGGCTGCAGGACACCCCCACCGCTGCTGGGGCCACTCCTGACATTTGTCCCCAGCCCAGTCTGCACCACCCTCACCTTTGTCCTCCTGACCTGGTGCCTGACCCCGTGGGTGCTGCTTTCGCTCCGTCACCCGGGAATGTGTCACTTCACAGGCACCCCAATGGGAGCAGGAGATACCTCATGGGCACCCCAATGTAAGCAAGACATCCCTCAGTGTCACCCCAATGCCAGCAGGAGATCCTTCATGAGCACCCCAGTGTGATCAGGACATCCTTCACCCTCATCCCAATGTGAACAGGATGTCCCTCACTGTCACCCCAATGTGAACAGGATGTCCCTCACTGTCCCCCACAAGAGGTGACAGTGGGGCACAGGCTGGGCCAGGCTTCCCATGCTCCCAGAGGAAGGACAAACCCAGCCAGCAGTGCCACTGAGGTGGCTTTGGGGCCAGATAGAATATTTCAGGTCAATAAATAAGACCCACTTGGGGCTGGGAAGGGGAAGTAATGTGGGACAGAGCAGCTGATAGTGCCCCATGCCATCCTCGGGGTCACTGTCCATTGTCCTGCTGGGCTGCTGCTCCCCGTGGTGTTCCTGCACTCTCCAGCCGTGCCTTAGTGTCCCACCCAAACTGGGGTGCCATGACCCCGACCCTGTGTGAAGCTCTGGGGAGCAGTGCCTGAGACACTGCACTGGAATGGGAGCCCTGTTTCATAAGAAACGATGACCTGCTAATGACGTGTCTGTGCCTCATTATTATTTAATAATAAACCCTATTATTAGTCAGTCTGGCACTGGGCAATCAGTGCAGGGTGCCAGGGCACCAGCCCCTTGGCACGGGGCTGCTGGGAGGTGGCACAGGGTGGCTGCAGCCCTGCAGGTATTTGGGAAGGCAGGGGAGGACTGGGAAGAACTCCAGTGGCAGCACTGGGGTGGAATGGAGGGGTCTTGTGCTGTGTCAGGGTCACACACAGGACCAGAACAGGAGACACCGAGGCTGTGGGGACATCCATGGTGGCGGCTCAGGGACATCACCCATCTGAGGAGAGGAGGGCGCTGTCCACAGGGTGGCACTGCTTGGCCAGGGCTGGCGGGCAGGGCTGGCAGGGGCACCCCCAGCCCCAGCTCCCGCCCTGCGGGAGGGCAGGCAGCAGGAACTGCCCATATCCTGGGAGAGGCTGTGCTGGGCACCGCTCCACGGCTGACATCTCCTGTGCCCATGGCAGCTCCTGGGCTGCACAGCCGTGTCTGGTGCCCAGGGCCACTGTCCCTATGTCCTTGCCGGCTTCATGTCCTTGCCATCCCCAAGTTCTCGCTGTCCCCAAGTTCTTGCTGTCCCCAAGTCCTCACTGTCCCCATGTCCTCGCCGTCCCCACGTCCTCGCCGTCCCCACGTCCTCGCCGTCCCCATGTCCTCACCGTCCCCACGTCCTTGCTGTCCCCACATCCTTGCTGTCCCCATGTCCTCACTGTCCCCACCCCAGCTCCAGGCCGTGGGGCTCATGGTCAGTGCTCCCCTGGGGAATGTGCCAGCTGTTTGAGGCTGGAGTCTGCCTGGATGTGGGACAGCCACTCCCAGATCGTTCCTGTGCACATGGAAATCTGCCCTTCAGCGTGTTTTGGGGCTGTTAGAGCAGAGCCAGGCCTTCCTGAGCCCTTTTGTGCTGATGGTCCCTGGGAGAGGTTTGGATCTCCAGCAAACCACGGCCCCCAGACACTGCCCAGCTCCTCCTCTGTGCCCATCAGAGGATGCTTAGCTCATTTCCAGCTCAGTCCCAGGATCTCAGTGCTTTAGTTTGGGACCTGGTATCTCAATCATAGCTTGGGGACAGGGATTTCATGGAATCCCAGAATGGTTTGGGTTGGAAGGAGCCTTAAAGCTTATCCAGTGCCACCCCTGCCATGGCAGGGACACCTCCMACTGTCCCAGGCTGCTCCCAGCCCCAATRTCCAGCCTGGCCTTGGRCWCTGCCAGGGATCCAGGGGCAGCCACAGCTGCTCTGGGCTAAGGGATGAGTGCTCTCTCATGGAACACTGGTTTGAGCTGGAAGGACAGCTGGGAATCAGGGCATGGGGTGGAGGGAGGCAGGGATGGATGGATGGATGGATGGATGGATGGATGGATGGATGGATGGATGGATGGATGGATGGATGGATGGATGGATGGATGGATGGATGGATGGA